CTATCCTCTTTCATGACCCTATATAGCTTGCTGTGCTTCTCTGTCCTGGTTAGTTCATGGTCATCCTGTTTACCCACTGGTGTGCTTGAGGACTAGTGTGTCCTGCTGGGGTGCCAGCTCCTTCAGGGCAGGGACTCGGTCTCAGCCACTACCCTGTTTTCAGCACCTTGTATAATTACTGACACTTAACCAGGATCCATAAATAGTGGAACTAACCACCAAATCTCTAGCTAAGTAATATACTTATTAAACATCAAATATAGGGGCTGGAAGGATGGCTTAATGGTCAAGAACATGTGCCGCTCCTACAGAGGACCCAAGTTCAGTCCCCAGGACTCATGCCAGACAGATCTCTGAACTGTGTAGCTCCAGGGGACCTGGTGCTGTCTGGCTTCACTGGCATCCACACTCAGGTGTATATACCCACACATAGACAAAGATAATTTAAAAATAAACCAAATCTTGGGGCTGGAGAGATGGCTCAGCAGTTAAGAACACTGGTTGTTCTTGCAGAAGACCCGGGTTTGTATCCCAGCACCCACATGGCAGCTAACAACCATCTGTGACTCCAGTCCCAGGGGATCTGACAGCCTCTTCTGAACTCCGTGGGCATTGCACGACACAGAGGCAGGCGGATCTCTGAGTTCAAGGCCAGCCTGGTCTACATAGTGAGTTCCAGGACAGCTGGGGCTACAGGGAGACCCCGTCTCAAAAAGACCCCCCCCAAAAATAATAATAAAATAAAATAAATAAACCAAATCTTTAAAAAAAGAAGAAAGAAAGAAAGAAAGAAAGAAAGAAAGAAAGAAAGAAAGAAAGAAAGAAAGAAAGAAAGAGAAAGAAAAAAGGGGCTGGAGAGATGGCTCAGTGGTTAAGAGCACTGGCTGTTCTTGCAGAAGACCTGGGATCAAATCCCAGCACCCACAGGGCAGCTAACAACTGTCTGTAACTCCAGTTCCAGGGATCCAACAGCCTCTTCTGTTCTCCTCAGGTATTGCACAACACGGGTGCACTTACCTACATGCAAGCAATACACGCATACACATGAAAAATAAAAATAAATAAAATTAACAAAAGAAAAGAAACCCTGGGTCCTGTGTCCAGCACTGCGGAAAACAGGAACAGTGATGCCTACCTGCAGCCCAGCACTCATGGGGTTGAGGCAGAAACCCCTTGCTGCTGGTAGGGGTGAGCAAGCCTGGGTCTCGAGGACATCTTTTGGTTTTTTGTTTGTTTGTGGGGTTTTTTTTGTTTTGTTTTGTTTTTTTGGTGTTTTTGAGACAGGGTCTCCCTGTAGCCCCAGCTGTCCTGGAACTCACTATGTAGACCAGGCTGGCCTTGAACTCACAGAGATCCGCCTGCCTCTGCCTGCTGAGTGCTGGGATTAAAGGCTTGTGCCACCACGCCTGGCCTTTTTTTTTTGTTTTTTTAAGGCAGGGTCTCGTGTATCCTCTACGGGCCTCGAACTTGGGTATGTTTGTTCTCGTTTCCAACTTTTGTTGCTCAGCTTTGTTCGTGAGATTCATCGTCGCGTGCGCCTCTGTGGATTGTTCATTCATCCTCACTGCGGTATAACATTCGGCTGGGAAGGGATGACCACAGTTTGTTTCCATCCTGTCGCTGACATGCACTTGCGGTGTCCATTGTGGGGTGACTGCACAGTGATGCTGTGGATGCTCTGCGGTCAGTGTCTCTGGCAGTGTCTGTGCTGAATGTCTGTTGGGTATATGCCTGGGCATGGACTGTATGACTGACTTCGTCCCTGGCACAGGCGTGTTCTGTTTGAGTAGAGCTTGCCAGTTTGCCCATGTGTTCCTACCAATTTCCATTCTTGGGGTGGCTCTAAGGCCTCTGAGACAGCTTCCCACATCCTAGTGGAAAGCGAAGTGTCTGGACTTCATCCAGGGGAGAGGCTGGGCCCAGAGAGAGGGAAGGGGCTCTCCCTTTGTCCTGTCCTGTCTCAGTGATGGGCTGTGCACACATGGTGAGTCTTCTTGCTTAGGAACCAGGTTGCTTATAGAATTAGTTCTCCACTACCAGCTGGGCCAGTGTACCTGAAGCCTTCCTTTCTGTAGGACTGAGGGGCGGGAAAAGAAGAGGTGTGTTTTCCTTAGAACCCAGACCTTTGATTAGGGCTCTCAGAGCTCCTGCCTTCTCTATTCATGTCCACCTCACCAGACTGAGTGACCAAAGGTACGTTCCTAGGCTTGGTAACAGTATGTTTAGTTTTATAAATGGGATCCTCCAGATTCCTGACTGTTCCCCACGTTTTGAATCAAAAAGGAAAACTTTGGCCTAGCCATTCTCAGAAAGAACCCCAAATAGGATGTGGTTTCACAGAGGAAGTGGCTATCAGCAGTGGTGGCCCAGAGGCAGAGTGATGCATGGTAGCGTCTGTTCAGTGAGTTAGGACTTCCCATTGCTACTCAAAGAACCAAACATGTCTTAAATCAAACATGTCCTGTAGTTATGTTCAAAAGTCATTTAAATCCAGTGGGTGTGGTGGCACACGCCCTTAGTCCCAGCACTCGGGAGGCAGAGGCAGTAGATTTCTGTGAGAATGAGATCTACTGGGGCTACAGGAAAAAAAGTTACTTAAAATACAAGAAAATCTGACATTTCAGGGAATTTTTTTGTTTTGTTTTGGAGCTGAGCTCTCATCTCAGGGCCTCATGTGTGCTAAGCACGTGTTTTGACATGCACCACCCCCTCCGGCCCCCAGAAGTGTTTTGTTTGTTTTTTTATTTTTTGGTCTTTTTGAGACAGGGTCTCCCTGTAGCCCCAGATGGCCTGGAACTCATATGTTGACCAAGTTGGCCTTGAACTCAGAGTTCCACCTGCCTCTGCCTCCCAAGTATCAGAGTGTTTATTTATTTTTCTTTATGTGTATGTATGTATGTATGCCTCATGATTTTGTGTACCACATGTATGCAGGTGCCTGATGGGGCCAGAGGGCATCAGAACCCTCCTGAGCTGGAATTAGAGGTGGTTGTGAGCTGCCTAATGTGCTAGGAACCAAATATAGACCAGGCTGGCTTCAGTCTCACAGAGATTTGCCTGCTTCTGCCTCACCAGGTCTGGGACTCAGCAGTTAAGCTCAGCAGTAAAGAGCAATTGCTGTTGTAAACGACTGGGGCTCTGTGGCCCACAATGGTCTATAACTCCAGTTCCAGGGGATCTGACACCTTTTTCTGGCCTCCATGGACACTGCATGCATGAGGTACACATACATACATGGAGGCAAACTCTCATACACATTAAACAAAAATATGACAAGCTGGGCATAGTGTTACATGTCTCTAATCTCAGTACTTGGGAGGCAGGGGCAGGTTGATCTCTGTGAGATGGAGGCCAGCCTGGTCTACATAGCAAGTTCCAGGCCAGCTGGAGCTACAGGGAGACCGTGTCTCAAAACAAACAAACAAAAAACCTAAAACAACAACAGCAACCCCCAAAATAAGCTGACATGAGATTGATTTATTGGAAATGTTTAAGAATAAGCTGGGTTTGGTGGGACAGGCCTGTAATATTAGCTCCTAGAGGCTGTGGCAGAAGTATTGCAAATTCAAAGTTTTGTATAGGCTGTAGACTAAGCTAAAGACAGGCCTGGGCAACTTGGTGAGATCTGTCTCAAAAAATAAAAAAGGAAGAAAGAAGGTAAGGAAGGAAGGGATGTAGGTAGAGAAGAAGGAAGGGAGGGAGGGAGGGGGGGGGAGGGGAAGGAAGGAAGGAAGGAAGGAAGGAAGGAAGGAAGGAAGGAAGGAAGGAAGGAAATGAGCTGGGGATATAGCTCAGTAATGGTGTACGTGCCCAAGGCCCTAGGTTCAGTTTTCCAGTACTATGAAACCACAATAACAAAACAAGACAAAACAGTGTTTAGAGTAGCTTGGGTCTGTGAACCTACTTTTCAGTTGTGCACTACATGAAGTCTACATACAGATAAGTATTTCTGAAGAAAATCTCAAAATGGAATTGTCATACTCTCTAAGTACAACATAAACATCAGATTTCAAAGACTCAATACTAAAAATATACAGTCTCTGAATAATTTTTTTCTGTGTTGATTATATGTGGAAATGACCATCTTCTGCATCTATTAGGTTAACTTAAACATGAAAGTTCATTCTTTTTTTTTGGTGTCTTTGAGACAGGGTCTCCCTGTAGCTCCAGCTTCCTAGAACTCGCTCTGTAGACCAGGCTGGCCTTGAACTCACAGAGATCTGCCTGCCTCTGCCTCCCGAGTGCTGGGATTAAAGGCGT